GTGGCGGAGCTGCTGCTGGCCCGCGGGGTCAGCGCCAACGCCATGGACTTCGGGGGGCACACCGCCCTGCACTGCGCTCTGCAGGGCCCGGCGGCGGCCCTGGCCCAGGCCCCGGAGCACACGGTGCGGGCTCTGCTCAACCACGGCGCCGTCCGCATCTGGCCCGGGGCGCTCCCCAAGGTACGGGGCACCAGGTCAGTTCCTCTGTCTCATTTGACAAGCGAGGCCCCAGTGGGGCAAAGCCGGGCACACCGGCCGGAAGGGGGCGCGTGCGCACAGGTGTGCAAGTGACCAGAGGGGACTAGGTCAGACGGTGAGGATCTGCAAAGGGGGAGTCAGGGCTGAAGGGGCAGCGAGGGGCGCTAGGGAGCCCCCCGGGCAGCCTGACCCGCCCGGTGAGATGGCCAGCGCACAGGAGCTTCTCCCCGAGGCAGAGCCGCGAGCCCAGTCACACCGTGGCCAGGTGGTCAGGGCTGACCGCCTGCCCGCTTTGACGGACGGGTCCTGGTTTCGTCGGGACTCGCGCGCCCAGACCAGGAGCCGCTCCCACACCTGAGAAGCCCCCTTTCCCGCCAGCCTCCCCTCTGTCTTACCTTCATTTCCCCCCAGGTGGGTTCAGCTTGAGCCCTGTGCTTTGGGGTCCCGTGTCTGGAGGAGGGGTGTGGTGTCAGGGGCAGCTCCGGGCCTGGGTGGGGCCCCGTGTTCTCCGAGACGCTGGGTCAGGACCCCTGCCCACCTCTGGACCGGTGCGCCCAGCCCTGGCTGGCCCTAGAGGCCCCGGCCTCCTGCCTCTCTCCCCTTCACTCAAACCTAAAGCATCTGTCTAGATTCCTAAGCAAGACCAAATAATTAAACAGCCCGAGAGTTCGGCAGATTGGTCTCCCCTTTGGGAAAATACAAGAAAATCAACAATTAACACTAATTAATCTCCTATTAACACCAGATAATTAGGAGACGAGCAATTCCCTGTAATCTGACGGCGGCTCTGACAGCTAATGATTTCCCCGTCAGGGAGGAGGCGGGCGGAGGCGGCGGAACAGCGCACGGATTTCCTGGGGCCCCACTGGCGGCCCCGCTCCGCCCTGCCCTGGCGGCCAGCGGGCCTGTCCGTCCTGCGTCCAGGCGCCACGTGCCAGGCGGTCAATGAGGGCAGAAGGAGTCGCCTCCACCCTCTCGTCTGCAGCTGCTCGGGCCGCCGGGCCTGTCCTGGGAGCGGGAGCCCCTCCCTGGAGGGCCCCACGCCCAGCCGCTCCTGCGGCTAGTCCCCAGCAGCCTGCCTCTGGACTGGGTGCGCGGGAGACCTGGGTCCAGGTCTTGGGTGCTGGTTCAGGTGGCCATCGGCACGTTCCGGGGATTCCTGGGATCCCCTGAACCAAGAGGGCCGCCTGAGACGCGGGCCCCTCGCAGGGATGAGAAGTGGGCAGTGGTGGCCCAGGCACAGTCCCACCGGCCGGGCACCTCTGAGACCTGTCCTCTCCGTCCCCCAGCCACCTCGCAGCAGGGTCATGTGCAGACTCCCGAGCCAGTGCCCCCTGAGCGGCCCTCGGCACTGGGCACTCTGGAAGCAGGGTGTCCGTAGGCTGAGCTAGCGTGGCAGCGTGTGGACCGATGTTGGGCGTCACCCGATGCCGGGGATCCGAGGGGGCGCGCGGGGTGGGCTCCGGGGGGCCATGGGCGGTGGGTTGGGCAGGCTTGGCATGAGGAGGAGGCACTGGGTGGGGGAGCTCAGCTGGCGGCCCCAGCGCTCTCCCTGCACAGGGTTCTCTCTTCTTAAGCCTGGGTCAGAACAGGCTGGGGACATCGTCTGCCGTGAGACCCCGGGGGCAGCAGGATCGGGTCTGCCCGGAGGCATACTGCCCTCTGTCCAGACAGCGGGCTGGGGTCGCTCTGGTGAGCACTGCCCAGATCGGGGCGAGAAGCAGCGGGCCTTGGGCTCAAGTTCCACACGTGTAAACGAGAGAAGAGGGAGTGAGCGCTTTCTCCAGGGCCCCAGGCCTGGACCAGACTCCCAACTGCTTCCGCTACCCAGCAGTCCCCGGCGCAGACCATACTCTGGCCTGCTGCTGACAGGCTGTCTCTCCCTCTCGGCAGGCGTGTTAAAGCCTCAGTGTCACTGCAAGCGTGTGTGCGTGCTGGAGTGGGGGATGCGGAGGGCAATGTACAGGAAGGCGGCCTGAGAGAGGGCGCTACGCTCAGATTTTACTAAGGGTCTGTGGCCACTGCTTCTAGCTTGAGAGACAGCAAGAGATGGAGCGGAGCAAGCGTGGGTCTGCCTGGAGGTGTTACTTGCAGCCACGGTGGGCATGGACCTGTGTGTGCCCAGACTGCCTTTCTGGCACCAGGACGGTTCCCCTCAGGCTGCCCCCTTCCCCAGGCATGGCTCCTGCCACCCCCCCCTTCTGGACCACCCATCTCGGGCAGAACCCTCTCCAGCCACGCTCAGCCCCACATCCACTTCTTTTGCTTAAAAGCAGCTCTGCAAGTGGTCACGTGCCTTGTCTGTTCCCCCTCAAAGACAAGCTCCCAGCTGACCAGGATTTGACCACTCCCCACTGCCTATCCCCACTGCTCCCCTTCGTGGACCCCAAGTGTTTGCTGAGAGAAGAAATGCAAGAATGAGTCTGGCTCCAGCTTGATCCACTCCAGCCAAGAAACCTTGTAGAGGCAGGTTCCAGCAGGAAGCCTGTAGAGGTGATGGCAGAGACAGTCTGGAGGCTGGCGATGTGAAGCCCCGGTGGCAGCAGGATCGGGTCTGCCGGAGGCTCAGCCTCAGGCGGATGCCAGCCGTCCTTGGCTTGTGGGCACATCCCTCCACCTCAGCGTCCGCTTCCTGCCTGTGCATCTGTGTCACTGCTTTCTTATGAGGAGAGCGCCACGCTGGATTAGGACCCTCCCTAATTTGACTGCCTCTGCAAACACCTTACTTCTTGACAGGTCACATCATAAGAACTAGGGTTAGGACTTCAGTCTGGGGGACACTTCAACCCCCAGCAACTGTCCATCCTGTTGCTGCCCAGTCGTGCTGATGGGCTGCCCGAGGGACTCCCCTGTGGGGTGACAGAGGCCCTCTGACAGGGGCTGCCTCCTCCAGGTGCTGGAACGCTGGTGCAGCTCCCCGAGGACCATCGAGGTGCTGATGAACACCTACAGCTCTGTGCGGCTGCCCGAGGAGGCCAGGGATCTGGTGCCTCCCGAGACACTGCAGGTCAGGACCCAGGGCCCCGAGCTCATGGCCAGCTGCTCAACCAGCCCTGAGATGCCCACCTCCTAAAAGGGTCACCCTCTCAGCCCCTCAGAAACCGCCCAGAGCCCTGCTTGTCCCTGCAGGAGAAAACTCAGTGAACGCCCAAACCCAACACGTACAAGGCTGCCGTAGGCGCCACTGGCCCCCCGCCCCTAGGAGGAGTGGGTGCCCTCATCCGAGGCTGCCTCGCGGAACCCCTTGCTCTGCCCCCAGAAGCACCAGCACTTCTACTCCTCTCTCTTCGCCTTGGCGAGGCAGCCGCGGTCGCTGCAGCACCTGAGCCGCTGCGTGCTGCGCGCGCACCTGGCCCCCCGCCTGCCCCACGCCCTGCCCCGCCTGCCGCTGCCGCCCCGCCTGCTCCGCTACCTGCAGCTGGAGTTTGAGGATGTGCTGTACTGGTGAGTCCCGGGCTCTGCGCCTGTCCCAGCCAGCGGGGGGCAGCGCGTGGGGAGGAGGCAAAGCGGACTTGGGCGCGCTGGTCAGACCCCCTGACTCCTGGACTCCGAACCTCTCCTTCCAGATGTCCACTGTTTTGGGGGTGCTGAAAGCAGATGCCCCGGAAGGCTCAGCCTGCTTCTCCCAGGACCCTGACCCAGGACTGAGCTGCACCCACTCAGGTCCAGGTGGACCTCTCAGCACAGCGCCCAGCCCCACACAGGTGTGGGGGTGCAGCAGGGTCGTCTGATGGCAAGAGCTGGGACCATGGGGTCCCTGAGGGCCCCGCTGCCTACACGGCCCATACATGCATTAAAGCCTCCAGGCCTGTGCCGTTTGGTGCTCTCCTTCGTCTGCACCGCTCCCTCTCAGGAGACTGAGCAAGGGCCCCGCACTCCAGTGCCCGCTGCGTTACTTCTCCGCTGGCGGCCGCCAGGGGGTTTGGCAGACCTGGCGCTTCGGCCTGTGACGTGGCCACCAGGGCAGAGCGTCAGCAGGAGGCCTGCAGGACAAGCTGGAGCATGGGCCGGTGGAGAGGCTTGGGGGTGTTGGGGCACTGTGGAATGAGGTGCTGCAGGCAGTGGGCAGGACAGCAAGACCGCCTGGGGGCCAGGAGGCGAGGTGAGGGGCAGGAAAGCCAAACAGAAGGGGGGTGCGCCTACCGGGGTACATGGCGGAGGAAGCACGGGGGAGAGTGAAAGACCCAGGTTCAAAACACCCAAACCCCAACGCAAACCAGCTCGACCTGTCCCGGGGGGCCGGGCATGGGCTGCACACCAGCCGGTCTCTGTCCTCCCCCAACCCTTAGCGTCCCTCTCAGGTGAGCCCTGGACACACCTTGGATTCCAGTCCGGGCTGGAGCACTCACTGCCGAGCAGAAGTCGCTCGCCCCTTCTCAAGTGGCCACATCTGTAGCGCAAGGGAAGGGAGAGTCCCCCAGGGTCTCTGCAGTATTAGAATGTTCAGGACTTGGGAGGCCCCAGCGGCGGGGAGCCGGAAGACAGTCTGGGGGGCTGGCGCGGGTGGTGGAGGGGAAAGGGAGTCGGAGAGCAACCAACCAAATGCATCGTCGCCCGTGACGTCAGGGGTCGCTGGACAGTTTCCTGGACACTGGAGTGCGCGTGCGCAAGAGGTCACGCCTTTCCCGCCAACGGTTGGGCGCGCGTCATTGAAGGGCAGGTGGGAGA